CCCAGTGGGGTTCTCACCTGCTGCCTTGTTGGCAGGGCACATGCCCCAGATGGCAATGAGAGTATTGGGGGATCCAGTAGATTCTTCGTGGACCTTCCTGACTGGATGTTAGAAGTTTCCAAGAACAAAAGGAAGCAAATGTCACCATCAACCAGTGCCCTGGTCACCCCGTAACTGTCACTCAGATGTGGCACTAGGGGTCACCTTCCTGAGTGGATGAAAAGAGAGTTCTGTTCAGGGGAACATCCTGAGGGATCCTAGGGAGCTGAGGCCTTTGGCATGGCCTCAGGTATAGCCTGGGGTCAGAGAATCCCAGGGGGCTGGGACAGGTAGATGCCACTTGGACAGGCCCTCTGAGACACCCTGCCCCTTGTCATCCATGGCTCAGCCTGGCTGAGGGTCTGCTCACACCCCGAGAGTCCAGAGGACATGACCTTGTTCAGAGGTGTGTCTGTAGGTGGGGTGAAGGCAGATGGACAGGGCCTCTGGCTGGGAGGGGAAGGGGTCTCTCCTCTGTGGGCCTCTGAGCAAGTCAAGCCCCTCTGTGAGCCTCGGTCTCCTCATGTGGGACGTGGAGGGAGGTGATCTGTGCTACAAGCCCCCACAAACGGGGGGATGAGGTTCAAGGGAGGAGAGGAATGTGCAGGAGCTGTGTGCCGCCTCCTCCTCGAGGGGTGAGGGGAGAGCAGTGATGACAGTCAGATGACACTGAGTCCTCAGGAGGCCCTGGGAGGCAGGTGGAGTTCTCCTCACCCTTTCCAGATGAGGACAGAGTCTGAGGAGCCTGGGCAGGCCCGAGGCCACAGAGGAGCGAGTGTTGGAGCTGCGGACTGATCGAGAATCAGAGCATCTGGAAAAGGGAGCAGCCACACACACCAGATGTCCAGGGTCCAAGATCAAGGGCCTGGGACACATGTGGAAGGGAGCATGGCCTCCCTGACCTTGTCCTTGACCCTGCAGGAAGCGACCTCTTTGTGGGAGACCCTGGAGATGGATCCCTGGATAGCCCAGGAGAGGCAGCAGTGGCAGGTGAGGGTGCCTGTTGGGGAGGAGGGGTCCATGTGTCCGAGGAGAGGGTGCTCCACCCTCACAGCTGGAGGCCTCCACCAAGAGAGGGGTCCCTCCTCCTCCAGCCCAGCTCCTGGCCACACAGAGCCTGCACTGGCTGCATTAGAAGTGAGCAGGAGGAGGCCTGGCAGGGCTGGCCCAGGAGGGACTTGGGGTGGGGAGGAGCAGGGACCACATTCCCTGGGATCTGCCTAAAGCCGACCCTGGGAGGTGACAGGGGAGATTGGTGTTCCTGGAGGGGGCTCCTGGGGGAGACTGCAGAGGGTCCTGGGCTGCTCTATGTGGGAGTCTGGGGTGGGCAGGAGGCTGGGGTGAGGGTTTTGGGGGGAGGGTCCCATGGGGGCACATGAAAGCCGGGACTCAGGGTGGCTCAGGGTGTCGTCCCCTTCCTGGGCTCAATCCTCTATTACCTGCAGCTGCTGGACACTGAGATGGAGGATTATCTGAAGGAGTGTGAGCACAGAGGGGGAAGAGGGAACAGGATCCGGAGGTTTGGGAGGCGAGAGCCCTGCACTGGGCCCTGAGCTCTCAGCACTTGGCAAAGCTCCTCTCCTGAGAACCTCCTGGCAGCCCCTGGAGCTGGGGCCTCAGGCACATCTTAGCAATGTGAGACCCAAGGCTCTGCATAAGCCCCCCTCCAGGCTCCCTGGGCTGGGGGAGCTCAGAGCTGCCTGACTACAGAGCTGCAGGAGGTGGTGTCAGAGCTGGACTCAGCCTCTCCCTCAGGCCCCGCCCCTGGGGGAGTGAAGTCAGCCCCTGCAAGTCAGGAAGCACATCCGTGGTCCAGCTGTCCCTTCCTTTCTGAGGCCTCAGTCTCCCTGTCTGTCATCAGAGAGGTTGGAGCTACAGAGTCTCTGGCCTCAGTGCCCCTGTCCTGCCTGCGCTGGAGCCCAGAGCCTGGCCCAGGTTCAGGCTCTATTGTGGCAGTGTCTGCCCTCTGCTGGGCCCTGGCAGTCCTGCAACCTGGGAAGGGGTGGGCTGGGGGCTAGTCATGGGCCAAGGGGGCTGTTTCTGATGGACATTGGCTGTCTGCCTTTGAGGGAAATATGGTGAACTTCCAGAAATGGAGTGAGGTGAGCAGCCGTGCCCTCGATGTGGGGAGGGTGGGGCTGTGGAAATCACAGATGTCCCCTGCAAGACTTTCTCTGGCCTCATCCCTTGGGTCTTATCTTTATTGGGAGAGTTAGATACAGGCAGCTGGGGATCCCATCACATTGGTGGGTGGGAGGAGGGGCTGACATCGAGGACACCTTCCTGGATGAGGAACTATTTCAAGCCAACTGTGAGAACAGGCAAGTCCTGAATGGAGTGGGAGGGAAGGAGGGTTCCCAATGAGCAAAGACCCCAGAGCAGCTCCTCACTACCCACAAGCTCCTGGCTCAGTTCTCCACCCAGGCCCTGTCTGCATCCTGTCCTTCCTCCCAGAAATTCAAGGTCATTAAAAGGATCCAGCTGCTCCAGGAGGCTGCCAATGAATGCCACCTGCAGCCCGAGGAGCAATTTGGGGCCTGTTTCCAGGCCATGGAGCCCCTCCGTGAGGAAGAGAGGTGAGGGCTCAGGAGCTGGGTGAGTGCAGGGCAGACTCTCTCTGAGGGCCAGCTCCGGACCAAGTGCCCACGGCTCCCTGATCAGCCCCAGACCTTGTTGCTTGGTGAACCCTGGTGAACCAAGACTCCAGCTGCTGGCAGGCTCTGGGAGGGACACTTGAGATGTGGCTCCTGGTAGCTCACAGGTCCACTCTGTCCTGTAGCTACAGCCTGTCCTGCCAGCTGGAGCCCCCAAACCTGAAGGTGAGCAAAATGCGAGGCTTCTTCAGGACCAAGAAGAACCGGCCATCCTCAAGATTGGGGCTGAGTGAGTGTCGGGACTGCAGGGACTGAATCCAGGGGCTCACAAAGCTTTGGGCTCAGTCTGTGCCTGGATCCCAGCTCCACTGCTGACCAGTCCTGTGACGGGCCACTCCCTTCTCCTTGCTGGGACTCAGTTGCCCCCTCTGGTACGGGTGATGCTTTACGGTACCTCAATGTCAGACGAATGGGGTGCTGTGGATGCACTGAGCACTCAGCACCTGGTTTGGAGCACAGAGTGCAGTGGGGGCAGGGAGCTGGGCCATGCTTCTCAGGGAGGGACCCCAAAATAGCCTGTTTCTTCTATTCAGCTGCCATGCCCTTGGCAAGGAGCCATCACACTCTGGATGCCACCACAAGCTCAGCTTCTTCAGGCGCAGGGACATGGCTGGGACCCTCGGGGTGCACCAGGCCAGCTCTTCCCACCCAGATGTGAAGGAGGACGTTGTAAGCTCTTTCCTGGTTTTGCCTAAATCCCAAAGGGCAGGGGACGATCCCCCTCCAGCTCCCTGACATCTCTACCCCAGTGTCTATTTGCCTATTGGGGAGAGCAATATTATTTAATAGTAAGTGTCAGATTTGAATATTATACTAAAATCCTGTTTCTGTTACAGCCTGGGAGTTGTGGTGTGGTTCACCTCCTGTGCTCATCTCATATAAATGAGACACAGAACCTCACCTTCCTCCTTGAATTAAGAACTGGTGCACGGTCACAGCTCATTGTATGTGGGACAAGGGAGGAAGGCCAGCCCCCTCCCTGGCAAGTTAAGGACCCCCCAAGTCCCCTTTCTTAGAGGACAGGTTCGTTTCAGTGTGGTTCCCCTGGGCCAGGAGTGGAGACAGCCCCTCAGATCCCCCTGGATTTAGAGGCTGGAGGGACTTTCCCAGCAGAGCAACCAGCACAGAAATGTGGGTCTTTCAGATGGCACTTGCCAGGACCATGTCCTGCCCCGGGACAGTGGCTGCCTTTCTACAGCTTTCGAAGAAGAAGGAATGTTTTCTGCTTCTCTTGTGGAGCTTTCTTTTGATCAATTTTTGGAACGTGTAGTTTTCTAATGAATCTCTGGAATTGCACTAACAGTAAATGGGGAAAAAATGTAAACAGATAAATCTTTGCATGTGGAAAGGACAAGGCCAGAGGAAGACCATTTGCAGACGGACTAAGGGCAGGCAGGACATCCCTCTGCAGGCCGCCTCTAGGGGCTCCCTGTTCACCCTTTACCTGGATTGGACTCCTCCCGGGATCCTGGTCCATGACCTTGGAAGTCCTTTTCCTGCTTGTTTCCTATCCAGAGGGAAAGATTTGTGATGCAGCTTTTAAAGCTACAACAGGGCTTTGTTGCATAAGCATCACTGCTCCCTGTGAACTAGATTTCCAGCATCCCTCACTTCCTTCTACAATTCTTTTTGGGCAGAAATTCCCTAAGGCCCCAGCCTCTCTGTCAGGTACATCGTGGCCATTCCTACCTAGCCAGGCCTGATGGATCAGCCGTGAGCTCTGGTTTGCCCAGGATAACGCACCTTTAATCCTGGGCAGTGCATGACCCACACTCTCCCTTGCTGCCCAGGGTCCCATGTGGTTCTGAGGTTCATGCTCTCGGACAAACAATAGTTTACATGCTCAGTCTTATTGTTACCAGCTTGACCTAAAGGGTCATCTGGGCTCAATCCTATAGAGCTTCTAGCCCCCAGGATGGCTGTGTTCTTTTCCCCAGTCTTGTGCTGTGGTTATGTGGTTATGTGTTATGGGGATGTGAAACTTTCCTGTTGGGAGTTTTGAAAGATAAGGCATGAGAGGTGCCAGTATAGAGGTGGGTCTAGCAGAGGAATGCCACCAAACTGATGAACATGGGCCTACACACACAACCTTGCCAATTAAAATACTGAAACGCTTCCCATCTGGGCAGTGAATTGATACTGCTCTGAGCTCACCCTGAGAACCCACCTCATGACCAGGAGCTACAGGGTTATCACCTGGCATTTTGAACGTCATCCCCTGAAACACCGTAAGACAAGGGCCACATGAATTCCTTGGTAGTTCTTCCTCCTCCTTGCTGAAGGCTGCAAGTGTCACCCTGGGAGGCCCTTTCAGTTCAGCCACAAGCCGAGTATAAATCCCGCTTCCGGCAGCCCAGGCCCTTCCTGACAGGGCACAGCCATCCAGGAAAGAAAGAATTCACATATTGGTGTAGACACATTAACACACACACACATATCCCACCCAAAGCCCAAGATGCATGAACTACAGAGATCAAAAGTGACTTCAGAAACAGATCAACCAATTGCAAACGAAGGGTTTCATTAAGATCCTGACTCAAATAAAATGTAAAACCAAGAAACAACCCGGAGAAAACTGGGAGACTTTGGAGGCTGACTAGATAGTTGATTATAGGAATGACATTTTTACTTTTGTGTGTGATAACTTTGTTGTGTTTGAGTCCCCAAAATCTCTCATCTGTAAGAGAAACTGATATATTTACACCTGAAATGATGTGCTCTCGGCATCTACAGCTGGCTAATTCCAGGGGATGGGTGTAAAGATAAAGCCAGATGGTTTATGAGTTGACAATCTCTGATGCAAGTGACAGGTTCACAGAGGTTGATTTTCCCTACTCTGAGATTTGGAGATTTTTGAAAACTTTCAGAAGACAATTTTCATAAAAATAGTATAATCACTGTTCACATTACAATGTTAAAAATGAAAACATTGCAAATATGAAGGAATGCTTCTTCTTCCTGACCTGGGGAAGCTCTGTCTGTCTGGCTTCTGTGAATGACCTGATGATGCCACTGATTATTCATTTATCTCATGTTTATTGAATAAGTACTATGTGCTCTGTACTGCGAGCAAGGTGAATGCATTTCCACATCTCCAGATCTAGTGTGGGAATGAAGGCACTGAGCCAGCTGTCAAGATTCTCTAAGTGGAAAATAATGCCCCACTGGGCATGGTCATTGTTAAGATTCCAAAATCAAAGCTAGACAAGTTTGCCATGGAACAAATCAGAGGTACTTAATTTATGATATAGAAATTACTTATGTCTGAATTAACATGTGACAAAGACTGAAGGATTTTGTTAAAATTAGATGCAAAATCATAATTTATGAAATCAGATTTAATATCACATTAAGAGATAAATCTCATTGAGTCGGTATTATCTCTTCATTGAGTGTAGAAAAAACAAATGTAAGTTCAAAACACTAATTCCTCAGCCTCAATTATCCTATTGATCTTAATATAAACAGGAAGAAAAATCATGGTAAATAAAAATCGAGGTTTCCCATGAAAGGTAAGGATCATGATGGATGTTACAAAGAGATGCTGTGGGGGTCAAGGCTGTCTCCTGGTGGATTTCTCACTGCACCACTCTCCTTTCCTTCAGCACCAATATCGCTTTCCTCACCGTGTTTTCAGGTGCCTTTCTTGGCTCCTTATTCTCTCTGCTTCCCTGGCAATCTCCTCTGTTCTCAAGCCAACAGTCAGTCTTTCCCATGCTTTTCTTCACTTGCAACGTCTGTCTCCTAATATCTCCAGAAGTTGCCTGTTGCCTGCAGAGGGGCTGTGAGACACCCAGACCCGTTCCTGGACTCATCTCTGCCCAATACGGACACTGGTCAGGAGCGGGCTAGGGTTAGAGTGCAGATCCCTCAGCTCCAGCCATGGCCCAGGGATTCACCTAGACCACCTGGTGCAATTATCTTTAAGGTATCTGTGAATCGGAAGGACTTAAGATTTCTCCCTCACTGCTGCCAGCCTGGAGGCCCTGCAGTCTCTCCTCTCCATACACTCACCGGGTCTTCTCCAAGGTCTCCTCCCACTGACGGCCCCTGACCTCACGGCCAGGATGGGAAGTTATCCTGGTACCTGGCCTTTGGAATATGCAGCTGCTCAGCCTTCAGCGTGTACAGAGCTGCAGGTTTCTGCTTGGTTTTAGTTCATTGTTTCCACCATGAAATTGGGGCATATTTTTTGAACTTTCTCTTTAAAAATAAAATGTGAAATTTGAACAAAATGGGGGATGAAGACTACCATCCATGGAGAATGTTCTCAGCTCATTTGGCTATTCCACCCTCCTTCCCTCCCTGGAGAATGTGTCTCAAATGTGAATCACAATCATCTGGAGGGTTTTTAAAACTCAGATTGCTGGACCTCAACTCAAGTCAATCTGGGGTGGGAATGGAGAACGTTCATTTCTAAGATGTTCCTAGGTGCTGTTGATGCTGCTAGTATAGGTACCACATGTTGAGAATGGGATTCTGGGACATCATCAAGCCCATGTGAGACACGGACAGAAAGCTCAAGGTCATTATCCAATGTCAAATCCAGACAAACTTCCCTCCTCCATCTTGCTTCAGGATGTTACTCTCTCCCCTTCTCTGTCATTGTCAACTACACACATTCTGGTACCAAGTAACCCACTATCATTGGGACACAGTGATCCAAGGGCCCCGTAGCTACTTTTAGAGTGCCATCTCTAATGAGATCATGCACTGTTCCACTCTTAGATACCCTCCACAGCAAAATCCTGTCTTAACCCCACATTCTCCTCACAAATCAGGTACTCAAACACCACATTCCCACCACAAATCTCCAGTTCCTGTTTTTACATAAAGAACTCTACTGTAAATAACCAACCTTCAAGAAAACACTTTACTCCAGTATGAACATCTTCACAAGGCTCTCTCCTTTCTCTCTTCCTATTCCTTTCTTTCAATCTTGGATTCTGTGGTCCATCATTTCAATCATCCACTGACCATGCTCCCAGATTCATCACTCCCATCACATTGGCCCTGTAAGCCTCTGACTTTGGATAATTTCAAATACCTGCCATGCCACGTTGACACCTGCACTGAGGATCACCACCGAAGAGAGAGCACACGAGGAGTCTGTGGATCCCAACAGAGAATCAAGAGCAACCAGTGGGCCTATGTGCGTTCTCTAACATGCCCTGAATGCTCTGCTAATTTCTTTCCATTTCTTGAGTTCCATAAAACTCTATTTCCTCCCGACCTACTTCATATTTCACAGATAAATTGTTAACAACCTAGACAAGAACTGTTTCACTCTCAGGTCATCAGATCTACAAATATTCCTCATCGGGAATTCATTTATCACAACTTTTCTGTTGTTATAGCCAAATAAATTTCTTTCTCAGCTGAAACCATTCTGATTTTTAGCTCATCCTTCAATCTCAATGACCTTATGAGCTCCATATTTGAAGTACTTTCATTTACTTCCTTACTGTACAAATCTCTACCATCTACAAACCAATCCCTCATCCAGCATTCCTAATACTCCTCACCCCCCCGCCCTCCATGTTCTCCCTCTCCTCCTCTTGCCAGGGATTCATTGTGAAAAGTTCACATCCATCCCAATGCCTCTATTTCCACAGTGCCCACCCAATCCCATATCCACATTCTGTGGATGCTTCTTTGGCTATGCTTACAAGCCCAATGTGGACTTTTCATTGTGTGTCTGACATGTCCTGCGGTAGCATGTGACATCGTGGACTTCAACTTCCTTTGAAAAGCCTGTTCATTCTTGGGATCCACCAGCACTACACTGTGCTGCTCTTGCCTGTCCAAACTTCCTGGCTTCTCTTTAGGACCAACCCAATGACTGAGGCTTCCCAGAAGTCAGCCCTGCTCGGACATCCGTTCTCCCTCTGCACCCTCCTGCTGGGCAATCCCATCCATTTCCTGCTTCAAATACCACTAATGAGCCAAAAATATTCAAAGAGCCAGCACAGATCTGACTCTGACTCCTAGACTCAAATATCCACCTGCCCACTCACCACATTAGTGACATCAATGACTCAATTCACAGTGACTGGGTTCCAAGCTGAACAAACCACTTCCCCAAATAATTCACTTCTCTTCCAGTGTCCCCAAACTCACTTGTTTGTGCTAATATACTGTGTAACCCAGAGTGTCATTCTGGACACCCTTCCACCCCACACTCATAGCAATGGACCATCCATCCTCCCTCCTGAATCCACCTACATATTTTCCACTTTTGAATTTGAATTATTTCTAACCACTCTTCAAATCTCACACAAAGTGTCATTTACCATAGTGAACTCCCCTAAATTACAAAACTCCATTTTTTCTCTTTGTTGATATTTTTTCTGTTTTACTTATATGGAAATTATCTCTTTCAATATTTAGTCCTTTCTCACTGAATTGAATACTGCACAAAGACAAGACTAACATGGATTTTCTGTTTCCCACAGCAGTGTTCACATATAGCTGTGCACACAAAAAGGCCTCAGATATATTTTATGTATAATATATATATTTATATTTATATACACATGAAATTCAAACACTAAAACTTTGCTTCCTGAAATATTTTAAATCCATCCACTTAACTACACTTACGCAAAGCTATCATCTTTTGAGTGGTATACTGCAATAAATTAGCAATTACAGCTTAAGACGTTTTTCCTGCTCTCCTATCATAATTATTACTACTACATTTTTCATTCCCTGATATGTTCCAGTTTTGAGGGAAAACTATTTGGCCATCCTATTTATAGAGCATCTACTATGTATGAAGTTCTGGTATAAAACCTGTGGTTTCAGTTTATCCAGAAATAAACTAAACAGACTCAATGCCCATTTGACTTAGTCTTAGTGAGAGGAAAGAAATAATACACAGAGCAAAGAGTTTATAACATGTCATGTAGAAATAAGCACTGTTATTAAGGCAGAGAGAGACTTTGAGGCTGTATGCATTTTCAAGTTTAGCTGGGTGCATGTGTACATGCTAGCACACATATGTTGCCAGGGTGGGATAAGTTGCTTCCTCCTGGGGGTGGGGGAGCCTCCTATACCTTGAGGAATTTCCTCTGGTGTACTTACTATGGACTTTGCTATCCATGTGTATTAGTCAAGGTGCTTAGGAGAAACAGAACCAATAGAATAAATATAAACATATAGAAATGGAGGTTTATTATAGGAATTGATTCACAAAGTTATGGGGGCTGAGAAGTCCCACAATCTGCCATCTGCAACCTGGAGAACCAGAAAAGCTACTGATATAACTTAGCCCAAGTCCAAAGGCCTGAGAGCTAGGACCTCTGATGTGTAAGGGCAGGAAAAGATGGACATTCCAGAGGAGAGAGCAGATTCACCCTTCC